AGTGTAAGCAATTATTAATTATGCTCACATCAGAGCCGCAGCTGGGTTTGTGAGGGGGTGAAAGCAAAGGCATGAGAACTTCCCAATGGGCACAAGTTTCCCAGACCGCAGAGGAGTGCCCAACCTGACATTAATCACCATGAACCTCTAGTGCCACCGTGACATTTAAACGCAGAGGAAGACACTGCTGGTAATTTATGTATCAGTTATGGACACGCAGCTACGAGGAGACCCCCATGCCTCCCTTCTTGTAAGCTAACCGAGCTGTAATCTGAAAGAATTCTCCAGGGTGTGAAATTATTTCAGAGGTGACCGGAGGACAGGCAGGCAGGCAGCGAGACTCCAAGTGTGTGTCCAGATTAGGTTAAATATTCAGCTCTCAAATCCTATTAGAATCACCCAGATTGCATTATAACTGCATCAAGATCAATCAGACCTCTGTTTCAATAAAAACCCACATCAGTGGAATTTATTCATATGTCTGGGGACTTTTGCAAGGCTGATGTTAAGGGCAGAGGATCCAGCCCCGGCACACACAGAAGGAGCTTTACAGTGTTAATGAGGGCTGTGGCAGCGCATCGTGTCAGACAGCCTGGGGCACCACTACGGGACACAAACGTCTCCCGCTCACTGCTGGCCCTTCTTTCAGAAAATCGTGTTCAATTAAATCTGCAGCTTGTTCTGCCCGGGACACCTGAAAAGCCAGTAGAGACAAACACAAGACTGGGCATAAATTTCTCAAACTAATCTCTGGATTTTATTTTTTTTACAAGGGAGAATTAAAGCTAAAATCTCAATTAATTAAAGCCTCCTAAGCAGCTCCTGAACTGAGCCAGAAGTGGAGACGGCAGCCCCCGCAGTAATGTTTTCAGCACAATTTTTAGAAAAAAACAGAGATGTTCAACAAGATGATTAGGTGCTCCTCAGGCACCGCACATTCCCACAGAGGACTCCTGCTCAGGTGAACCAGTGGCCGGGAGGTCTTGGGCAGAGTCCATCTCCCCTTGCATAAGAACAGTTACAAATGAGAAGAGCGTGTCTGGGTTGTCTAGCCTGTTGGGTAGCTCGTACCTAATTGACCCAGGGATCTCATCCAGGTGTTGGCTGAAAAAAAAGCCAGCCTTCCTGCACAAACTAATTTAAAATAACGAAGAAACCTGAAACTTCCCCCATGTTTAAGTTTTGGACAAGGACACATAGATCTTTGCTGCAGCTCTCCCTGTGGCAAGCTAAACGTTTCCCAGGTTGCGGCTGTTGGGTATTTCGCCGTCGAACCCAATGACGTGAGCGACTGAAGCGGCTGGACACGTGGGAGACGAGGTGGTAAGTGCTGCTGCCTCACAGCCCCAGGGTCTGAGTTGCAGTCTGTGCGGTTGTCTGTGTGGAACTTGTACTGTATGTTTCCCCCATATTCATCTGAGACTCTGCCAGGAATTACCATGCCCTTCCAGGCCTTGGGGACATCCGACAGCTCTATTATCACATATTTCCCTGCAGCTCACTCCTGCCTCGTGCTCTCTGCTTTCGGGCCAGCTCTCTGGTAATGGAGACGCTAGACTAAACTGAACACCTATAACATAAGATGGGCACTCCACCTCGGATAGCGGCATGCTGACCACATAGGCCAAAGATCCTGTTTATAAAAAACTGCGGGGGTGACACTATTCTAATAAAGGAGCCATGGTCTGTATAACCAGGAATCTGAGAAACTCTTGACTGCAGCTCAGTTCAATACAAAGCACTGCAGGCACTGTTTACTGTCAGACTGGTGCACAACTTACCACTGCCCACCCGATTAAGCCATTCAAAGAGGGACTTCAGCTAAGCTGCGTCAGGCTTATCTCTGACCACCCAGGCCACCAGTTATATTTACCAATTTATTTATTTTCACACTCGATTGCGTTACAAATGTCCTCTAAGATTTTGCTTTATTTTTCCCCAATACACTATTGTCTTCAGGACAGACCAGCTTAATAGCTTAAGTGCCGCTAAGAAGGCTTTTGGAAAGGGCTGGCGTCTGACTGCATGCCACGCAGCCACCTGGCATCCGGCCCCCTGGCAGAGCATCTTGGAAGAAAGATGCCAAAGATGGAGGGCACTGGGGACAGAGCCACACGCGCAGAGCTGCACGCGCACACACACACGCTGGCCGGCAGGACACCACTGCCCGCCTCACAGACCGATGCACTGTTCTGAACCCGACGCGATTCCCAAGTACAGCACATACAGTTTTAAACAGATGTACTGTAACGTATGCGTCTGCCACTGCCATTTTCCAGCAACCTAGCTGAGATACCACATGGGGAGACACAGGGCCTGTTCCACACTGCTGAGAGGCGTCCAGTGCCCTGCGGGTGAGCTGGCTGCACGTCGCTCAGCAACATCACTGCAATCTCATACGAGCCCGGTGGGTTCTGCGCCGGAGTACTCTGTACTGCGCAGGAGGCCAAGGAAACAAGGGCCTCTGCTTTAAAACATCTGATGCTGACAGGCAGCGTTTTAAAACTACAGGATTTGCTGCTTTCCGTTATTTCAAATTGGATAAAGTGTTGATACCACTGCAATCTGCAACTGGATTCGAAGAGAACCCGGAGGATTTGGGGGTACAGTATGGCCCAGACTCCTGCAAAGGGCTCTCACGGGGGGAGGGAGATGTCATTTCTGACATTTCTGATGGCCAGCAGTTCTATCGCCCTTCAACTCACGTCTGGAAACCCACTGAAGCTCAGCAGGTGTGAACCTGGCCAGTTCCTGGATGGGAGACCTCCGGGGAAAGCTAAGGTTGGTGCTGGAAGAGGTATTATAGGGGCACCACACATACTGGTGAGCCATATACTGTAAAAAAGGCACCATCCTTCATCCTTTGGATGAGACCTAAAACTGAGGTCCAGACTCTGAGGTCATTAAAAAATCCCAGGGTGTTTCTTAAAAAGAGTAAGGGTGTAACCCCAGTGCCTTGGCCAAATTTTCCATTGGTTTTTACCAATCATGGCCTCCTAAATCCTAAATATGAATTGGCTTCATCACTGTTTTCCTCCCCACTGATAGCCGATGTGTGGGGAGCGTTCTGGTGCACCATGGCTGCTGTCACATCATCCAGGTGGGGCCACACATTGGTGGTGGTGGAGGGGAGTCCCCATTACCTGTGAAGAGCTTTGAGTGCAGTGTCCAGAAAAGTGCTATATAAGTGTAATTATTCTTCTTCTGTAACAGTCTTAGTACACTAAGCCCTCTTCCACAATGTCAACCTGGTGAACTGGTTCAACAAGCGTAACCCGGTTCCAAACAGGGCTACTGACCGCGCAAATACCGTGCAGCTGGAAAGGGTGCAATGTACTTCGGTAGAGATAAGCGGACAGCTGTATTACAGGTAATTGACCAGGTACCTGGTGGAAGATGAGGGCCTGGCTGATGTAGCCCCAGCTGCTGTTGGGGGACAGGTAGTGGATGACCAGGAGCAGCAGGAGCATGAAGGCGATACTGGCGGAGGCGTAGATCGGGTTGATGAGGAACATCATCACCATGCAGCCCACGATGCCCAGAACACAGGTGTACCAGGTGAAGTATCGGAAGGTAGGCCTGTGGGAGAGCAGAGGGAGAAGGAGAGTTCAAACTGGAATAGCAGGAGAAGATGTCTTTGTGTAGCTGGCTGTTTTTATGCACAGGAGATTTAAAGAGGCATGAAGGGTTCAAATGTTAGAGACACCACATTCAGAGAGAAGGAAAAGGAAATACAGTATTTTTCATTATTTTATCAGATTGGAGCACATTTAACAGCCAAAGGTTCAGTGATCAGCAACAAAAAATCAGTAGAGTGCTCCTTGCAGCTCTCAGGGATGCATGTTTAGGAACTCACCAAGCCACTTCTTAAAATAAACTAGGCAATGGCTTTAATAAAACGACTGAACAGCTTATTCCAGACTCCCACAGCCCTGTGGGTAAAGATGGTCTCCTTGTTTCAGAGAAAGCTGGGCTTGTCTTGGACTACACTGTGCTGGTGAAGATGCCAAACATCTGGAGAGAGATTGAACTGAGGTCCTGGCTACCTGGCCGTTAAAGGTCCCATGACACTGCTAGTCAGAGCAGGGGTGTTAATGTCCTGGATACATTTCTCTAGGGGCTGGCCTTCATAAATCTCCTCTTACATTCAACTGGTGTAGCAATTTCTCATTCCTCTATCTCATCTGCTGTGCGGTGTCACATTTCAGGAGTAGATGAAGTAGATCCCCATCATATACAGTATATGTGAAGCTCTTTAGAATCCTCTTGGGGCGGTGAAAGGAGCTATATACCTGTACATGTAAGGAATGAGTAATTGTGAAGCACATGGAGATACCTAAAACTGCAGTTCTCAGTACACTGCAGCTCACTGTTCAAGGTTCAGCTGTGTCTCTCTGTACATCAGCTCTACTGCACCTTCACAAGTAACAAATACCAGTCAATTCCACAGGATCAAAAAACAAACAAGAAAGATTGCAAAGACTATGGAACGTGATTACAGGGTTATAAATGGGATAGAGGTTGGAATAGGTGCTGTGACAGTCTGTGAGAGAGTGACAGAGAAAGAGAATTAGTGAAAAACGTGTGGGCGGTCAGCACACCAGGGGGAAGCAATCAAAAATATCACTTAACACAACTTAATCTCTTAGGCCCTTAGTAGATACTCTCGGACCGTAATGGACAAGCAATCAACAAACAAGCACTGTCAAAAAAAAAGAAAAAACACCCTGAGAGAGAAAACTAAAAATAATAGCAGTCATAATAATCATAATTAAAAGTGATGGAAAAAAAAAACATAATGAAGTGAGAAGGAATGCGGACGGAGTCACAAAATTACACGTCTGAGTTGTCCTGGTCATTAGTGCAGGGTCATCAATCACAAAACGACCCCAATTTTCTGCAATAATAGAACTTAATGATAAACATCCATTAAGCGTGTTCCTGGCTATTGTAATTACCATTTAAATGAGTCGTCTCTATCATTAATGCACCCAGCTGGGAAAATTACGCGCTAAAGAAAAATAAAAGCCTTGCGCATCTGATGAAGACCTCGGTGGCACCTCCCCCTCCCCCACCTTTGCAAAACGAGGGGTGAGGAATGTGCCGAGCTTAAAATACCACAGCACGCCCCTCCGCTGCGACTGCAAATTGCTTTGACTTCTTCCCATTTTCTTGTCCCTTTCCCTTTACTTTCTGCCGTGTTGATCACGGGCCCTGCCAGCGCCCTCTTCCACGACCTCTCGGACTCCCGCGGGCGCGTCTCTCCTGAGCCTAGCGTTCCGTCTCCCCGTGAGCGCTGCGTGTTTCAATATGGCCGCAGCCCGAGTGTGTTCATCTTCTTCTCTCCATCCGCCTGCACTCCTCAGCCCACCAGGCTGGGGGCTCTCAGGCAATTATCTTAAAAGCTGGTCTGAGCTGCTGCCAACTTGATCACTCTCTCCCATTTTTAATCTCTCTGCAAGTGACAGGGCGCTGCGGGCACACCAACGATAGTCGTGGTAAAGCCCCCGCATCTCGGCTGCAGACTCCGCTGGCGTGGGTCTGCCGCTCAGAAGAGCTCCCAGCAGCATTGCTGCTTCTGTCTGGCTCGCAGCTACACTGCAGAGCTAAACCAAGGCCTCGACAACCCCGGCACTAAGCGATTTCCTAAGGATCCGACGGTCCCTTAGGAAAGCTCCAACACTGACTGCAGCTCTTGGACAGCAAGCTGTGGAAATCCCGAGCAGCCCGAGCTTACCTAGTCCCAGTGTCTTTGGTGATTCTTGTTGGTGAGTGAGTGTGGGGGGGGGGGTCACAATTTGGCATAAGACCACATGTGGAAACTAAGAGGAAGTGTGAGGGACAGGAATAAATGGACCCAGCCCATGATGGTGGAGCTGAATCCCTTGGGATTCTTTAAGGAGCTGGAAGAGATCCTGGACCTTCAAGCTCCTGAAGCTTCTAGCAACCAAATAAGCAAGGTGGACTACAGCTACACCTCTTTGTAATCTTTCCTCAGGACATGGTCCAAACCAAGGACTACAGAGCTCAGAGGACAGGCTGAGCAAGTGGCTTGTACTGTTTGGGCTATTGAGCTGCCCCCCTGAAATTTTCATTTAATCCTATAATTAGTAGTAGTACAAACCTTCTAGTACAGAGGTTTGAGAACACTAGCACGTACTTTTCATGTCAGAGAATTACCTGATGTACTACAGAGTTTTTCCCAACAGCTAATTGCCCTGACAGGTGCAGCCAATTAACGAAGATTGATTAACAAGTTGGAGGATGATTCAGTGATCACAAAGAGGGTCTTGTTTGTTACCTTTCCTGGCCGCATTTAGTCAGTTTCTTTTCTCCCTCTTACAGAGCACTGCTCTGTTCTCTTTAACTACAGAAGAAAAAGTCTTCGGTGCCAAGTTTAGGAAGAGGCAAACTTTTCTGCTAAATTAAACTAATTACAGCCCGTTCCTCTGAGGACATCTTTTTGCCTCAAAAGGCAATGCACAACAATAGCAACAAATTACAAAAATAAAAAAACAAAGTGAACAGAACCTGTTAAGTTTCTCTTAAAGATGCACTGGTAGGAACAAGCTCTTTCAAGATGGAGAGAGCCCAAACCTGTGCACTGTACTTCAATGCATGCAATAGGGAATGTTCCCAATTCCCAATTCCCTCTATGCTAATCTATTCTCAGCGCTGAGTGATGCAGCAGAGGTCAAGGGCCCAGTGTGTCTGGGGATGCCCACAGACTCATGGGGCTATAGTGCAAACAAGCGAGCAACATACTGTACTTCAATCCCTCTAGAGCTGTCCATTGACCTTCCTGAACTTACTGCCTAGATCTACAGTAGATGGAGAGAACTTGCAATCGTACCTCTGATTTGTATGACACCCTCCAGGTCACAGTGATGGCCCTGGACTGGCACTGTCTCTCCCCCCCCCCCGCTCACACACAGCAAGGAAAGCATAACCTTAACTCCCTCTGACTTCACTGTTCATTATTCCCCGGCGATACAGCCAGTCAATTAACACTGCAGTGCCATCCCATTCACAGTAGTGCCCTGATTGTGGTGCACCGCGCACCTAAAGAAAACCTCTCGCTTATAATATCATAAAAAAAAAACAAAATTGAACTAAAAGCCACCTCAACATAAGACACGGGTGTTATGACATCCGATATTCTCACAGAGCTGAAGTAATGGCACAAGATGTACTTTCATGTCATAAGAGACAGGACCTGGAAAAGGAGTGTGGGTGTGGTACTGTGCTATTAACCCTGGCACAGGGGGCTCCTGAAGGCTAGGGCAGAGTCGATGACAACTACAGCTGCTCTGAGACTTCAGCTGGGTTATAACCTAGCCTTGATCTACTTTTCATTCCTTATGTTCGGTTACAAGAAATGTTCGGGAGTATGAGAGGCTGAAAGAGAAGAGACAGGGGAAAAAGGTGTGTGTAGTACCAGTAATTGAGCCACGTTAGGAGGTGGATGCCCGCTTTTCCTGTAATTTCATTATGTCCAGAGGCGTATGTGTGCTGTACATTACCTATACCCAAGACAGGCGAAGCCACGAAGAAAGTACCTGAAGTTGGGAGCAGATGCCCACTCCAGTGCCAGGCAGGCCAGGTCAACAGCAGCATACACCAGCAGGAAGAAGATGGTGACAATGCCTGCAATGGTATTGAGCTTCCCTGCAAACAGCACCATCTGAAGGGACAGAGACAGCAGCTTTACTATTGTGTACCCCACGAACACCGTGACCTGAGAAGAACTATAGCAATCTTTTATCAAACGTGAAGTACTTTGCTTACAGTAAGTGCCTCTCCCAACCGCTACAGTATGTGGACAATGTGAGTCACCAAGATAACTGAAAGTCTCAAGTTTATTGTTGAATGACAGGTGTGTCACATAAAACATCAGCACGCACAGGAGCCAAAAGCACTGGTAAAGAAAAGACGCCCACACTTAAATACTGATGGCAATGTGTTCAGTTGCTTTATGGAACACTTCAAATAATAACAGTAAGGGAAAAATCTCTTTTACGCAACTGGTCACAGGCCTTTAACGAGTCTGGCCTTCCAATCCCCGATTCTAACAGAACCAATTCACTCATTCGCTCAATTGGACATTTTTAAAAATCTTCTGTGGATAACAATTTCAAAAGATGCACTTCAACTAAGTTAGGATTAAATACTTCTCTTTGGGCTCCAGATTTTCATGTATTGAAATGTTACACAATTAATCAAAGAATTAAATCAATTAAGTTAATTTAGCAAATGCTCTAGCACAATGCAGAGCCACCCAGGAGCAGAGTGTGATTTATACATTTAAACTGGTGTTGTGGAAACTCATCTTTCTACAATACGAGGGATGTTAAATTGTCCTGGCTTAATTCCACTCTGGACTGGATCTGGCCTCTAAAGTAAATATTAAAAAAACAAGGAATTATTATTAGCTTCTTAATACCCTCTGCTGTCTCTGCTAAGGCCATAATCTGCAGTTTTATCTTGGAGTCATTCTAAACAGTGCATTTATTAGTAATTAATCTGGGGGAAGGGACATGACTTTCGATACACTAAACAGCAAGCTTGACTGAGCTGGGATTTAGCATCAATTATATTAAGCACCAGCATTAGGTTCATGTTACATTCACACACAAAAGTTTTTCTTTATTAATGTCCATCAACAAATGAAAATGAAATCAGGCTAATACTATCCTTAATACAACACACTCTCTCTAGACCATTCAAATAACGGATAACAGATCAGGATAGAGGGACTGAATGGCCTCTTCTTGTTTATACAGTACATGTTATTTTCTTAAATAGGCCACAAATAAGCCCACTGGCATTGAGAACTTGTGCTGAAAATCAGATACAGGCAGAAGGGCCAGGAGAGAAAAAGAGCTACAGCTTTTCAAAAAATAGTCTGTTCCCTTTCTGTATACCCATCTACTGTGTCATAAGATGTTTTTGTAGCATATTATAGTTAATTGACATAATGAGAAAATTATGCTGTTTTGTGAATTCTGTCACCAAATCTGTAACACCACAGTTTTGCAAAGATTAACTTCACCAAATTTTGAAAATATTTTTTTCAAGCATAGTTCAGTGAATAAAAAAGGCAGAGCTAAATATATACAGTTATACAGTATACTACTCATTGGTAGAAGCAAAGTTTTAGTTACGTTTCCACTTTGTCTGCAAACTTACATACGTAGAAAGTAACCCATAAGGGACACAAAATGCTTAGGGGTGAAAGCTCAGATTGGGGAGGGTAATGTAAATTACTGGTGTACTACAGGGATCTGTATTAGGACCACTGCAATTACCAATTATTGCAATTAACTAGATTATAGAGTAGTAAAAGCTGGTCAGACATGCAAATGAACCGAAAACAGGAGGATCAGCAAACTCTGTTGAAGATGCAAAGCAAATGTAAAAATATATACACAAATTTCAAAGCTAGCAATGTAGACAAGTGTGAAGTGTTACATAGCAGCAGCAGAAACATAAGTGTAAAAGATGGGGAAATACAGAGTTTGAAGAAGCTACTTATCAAAACTACTTTGGGTCTATATAACACCAGTACTCAATATTCACATTGTCTAGAGAATATGGGGAAGCAATAAAAAAAAAGTTGGAATATTTTGTCAAAATAGTAGATTTTAAACCAAGGAATGTTATCTTAAATTGCAAAACACTAACACTAACTAGCACTGGAATCAGGAGTAGAGTAATCAAACATTCCCAGACAAAAACTTTGTCCAGCACTGACGGGACTAAAGAACAATGTCCTCAGACAATGACAAAACAAAAAAAAGACCCAATTCAAGTATCCTCAAAGGCACAAATAAAATCAGTCTGTTGCACTTCAGAATCAACAGCAAAACACTTTTCACTTGTAACTAACGCACATGTAAAACTGAGAACAGAAGGCCCTTCTTTCCATAGGGATTCAGGAGCCTGGACAAGCTACCCGGTCATGCTGCGGAAGCAGATATCCTGACTAAGTTCAAGAAACAACTGGATGGGATCCTTGGATCACTGAGCTACTAGCAACCAAACAAGTTTGATTAGCCAAATGCTCTAGACCAGTGGTTCTCAAACTGTGTCCGCAGGGGTTCTGTGAGCTCTCACATAGGCTACAAGAAAAATAAAACTTTGCTATCAATAAAAAAAAAGTGAGTTACGATGGCTTTGCATGGCTCCAAGAAGTCAGAAAAATTAGGCATTTCTTCTGAAACATCATCTTCAAATTTCACTCTCTGAATAAATTTCTGTACTTTCGCTGCTAGAGCCAGAAGGTACCTCAAAGGTGTCAGATGAAATTTCCTCTTCCATCTTGCGTGGAGATAAAAATGTTTGCCATTTTGCCACCCGGCAAATCTCTTAAACTGGCAATGATAGAAATAGCGTGTTATTAGGTAGAAAGATCGCTTAGAAATTACTGCAACCACGAGAGGAAAAAAAAAGTGAAAAATAAAAAGACTTCACGTCACAAGAATGAGAAGTTCATTGACCTGACTTCAGACTCTTCCTTACAAACAGCTTTTAATGAAGTGCAGTTGGCAGAGTTTTGGTGCAGCACCAAAAAACGAATATGCAGTATTATCAGAGAAAGCTCTTTCTGTTCTTCTCCCATTTGTGACCACCTATCTGTGGTAAACTGGATTTTCGTCGTACGAGTCCACAAAAACGAAGTATCGCAACAGATTGGATGCAGAGTCCAACATGAGACTGCAACTCACATCCATAACTCCAAATATAAAAAAAATTGTAGAAGAGGCAAACTCGCTCATCAAACTGAGATTGTTCCATTTCTGCTGGTTTGAATTAAAAGTTGATTAAAAACCCTTCTGGTTTTCTTCCAAGTTGGTTGAACCAGCGATTAGAACTTTGATTCTTTTATTCTCAATGAGTATTTCAGTGATTAAGCTGTATTGAACTGTAGGGATGCTAACCGTAGACAAGTTATCATGCAATTTATCCATCCATCTTCACTTCCGCTTTTCCTGGTGAGAGTCGCGGTGAAGCCAGAGCCTACCCGGCAAGCAACAAGCGCAAAGCAGGGTACACCCTGGACGGGGCACCAGTCCATCACAGGGCAAGTGCAAGCCAGCCAGTCATACATGGGGGCAATTTGGAGGCCACAGTAAGGGTTGACGGGGGAAATTTGGCCCAGACACTGGGATAACTCCCTTATCAAGAAATGCCCGGGGATCTTTGAGGACCACTGAGGCAGGACCTCGGTTTAACGGCTCATCCGAAAGACAGCACCCACTATAGAATAGTGTCCCCACCACTATACTGGTGCATTAGGACCCACACATACCGCAAGGTGGGCACCCCCCGCTGGTCCCACTAACACCACTTTCAGCAGCAACCACACGTTTTCACAGGAGGTCTTCCAACCAGGAACTGAGCAGGCTCACATCTGCTAAGCTTCAGTGGGTTGCCAGTTGCAAGTTATAGGGTGATATGGCTGCTAACCTCATGTGATTAATAAAGACTGAAAAACTCAATGGGCTCATATAATGCTTACAATTAAAACAAAAGCAATCAATAGTTTCTTCCTTAATAATTGCCTAAACTGCCTCTGAATAGCAGTGCTAGAATGCTTTTCGCAGAACACCGTTATAGCTAATCCTGAAAAAAAAGGTTGATGGGGATCCGTGACATTAGCTTCAACAGAAAAGGGTTCCGTCATCAAAAGTTTGAGAACCACTGCTCTAGACAGGATTGAGAACTGATAAGCAAAGCACTGAGAGCCTACTGTTGTTTTCAGTGCTTCAACACCAATAGTTCTGAACAGCTAGAAAATGTTGTGTGAACAGCCTAAATCACTACATTTACCAGGATACAACCAAAATTCGAATTATATATTAGGATTTTTTTAATTAATAGTTTTGGGTTTAATCCCCCCCCCCCCCATCAACAAACACTATTATAGCTTTTTATCCATAACAGGAGTTTTTTGGAAAGTTTCAACATTTGATTCAACAGGCAGATAACACTCTGCTTTTGCTACTGCATGTCTGTACAATCTATAGGAAACAATTCAATGACCACAGTATGACAGAGCAGAAGAAACATGGCAAATGAAAGAAGTCCACTTGGCCCATGGAATGAGTTTGTTGCTAGAGGCTATGACATTGATCTGAGAATCTCAGATATTCTGAAGAAAGCCATGATACTGGCTTCAACAACATGACTGGGTAGCTTATTCCACACTCTGTACTGACCCTGTCTGGACTATAGGCTATGCTGCAAACAGTTAAAGACCGAAAACATGAAAGTATTACCATTTTTATTACTGTTGTGTTTTTATTACAGCAATAAAATACAATTTGGGGAACAGGTTTGTAATTTAGAAAACAAAGTATATATCTGGGGAAAAAAAACACAGCAATTTCTGGAGAACACTAACCCTGATACTACTAATGAGTCATCTAGCAGATATTTTCAATCTAAACACACATGACGCAAATCGCTCATCTTCAAAGCTCATTTGTCTCCAAATCGACCATTAGGCTTCACAGATGATGAGGACATTCATCTCATTTTTTTTTTCCCATGCAGAGGATTTTGTTTTTAATTGTTCATTTAACCATTAAAGGCATTGGTAACGGGAGCACGTCCACAGTGTGAAGAAGGGAGGAAGACTGACAGACCTGGAGCCAGGTGAAAAACGCAGGCAGGTATTTT